GAAGCGCTGACCAGCGTAGTGAAGTTGGCGCAATCTCAATTATAATTAATGCCGCTGAAAGGCGCGACAGATTAAGATTATTTTCTCGCAATTGAAAAACATTGGAAAGTGTATTTATGAAGATGCGGGTGACGACTTTTACACCTCTTGTAACGTCGCAGAAATTAGCTTCTATCTATTCAACGAAATTATCTTTTGTCTTTTTTGAATACCCTCACGGTTTACCTTATCTCCGAGACCTACCAGATCCTCGAGATCTCCGAGACCTTCCAGATCTTCGAGATCTCCGAGACCTTCCTGATCTAGAGACCGACGAGACCTACCAGATCCTCGAGATCTCCGAGACCTTCCAGATCCTCGAGATCCCCGAGACCTTCCAGATCTCGAGATCTCCGAGACCTTCCAGATCCTGAAGACCTTCCAGATCCTCGAGATCTCCGAGACCTTCTTAGTATTGCCAATGTCAACCAACGGAAAGTAATCCAATTTCTTCCTTGGAAACTAATTCCGATTGAACTGTTCGAGAGGAAATTTTCTCCTGCCCCGGCGACACCTTGCTCCTCCCCACCAAGGACTCCTCGCTCGTCAAATAAAAGATCTAGAGGAACCCAAACCGAACTCTTTAATAGCCGAGGAGAAAAACTCGGAAAAATAAAATATACTAAGAATTTGTCAAGAATAGCTTGGCGACCAAAGATTGTAGTAATCAATAAAGTGTAAATAAAATCCTATAAAATAAAGTCCACATTAACCATCTCGGTATTGTAGTTTTCTATTATTTTGTAACCGGGACGTAACAGCTCACATAACGCATAGACGCGAGTGGTTTATCGATTATCGAGATCTGAGTAACGGTGGTATCTCTGGGTGACGTTGAATAGGAACAATTTTAACAGAAAGGAATGTGACGTTGCATAGGAACGATTTTAACAGAAAGGTTCGTCGATGGAACGTGGCAAAAGGAAGACGTGTATCAAGGAAGTACTTCATGTACCGGACATGAAGAAAAATCTTTTCTCAGTCGGCAAGTGTACCACGAGAGGGTACAAAGTGTTGTTCAAGAACAAATTTGTGAGAATTATTATGGACGAAAATAGAATGCGCTCGTAAAACAAGAGAACGAGATCTATCGAATGCTATTTTGAGTCAAAGGAAAAATGAATGTCAATGAAGCGAATGTGTCTATTGTAAATTTACGTGTATGGCACGAACGGCTAGGACATGTGAATGATCGCACGTTACACGAATTAGTGGATAGAGGACGGTGTAAAATTGTCAAATAAAGACAAATTCTTCTGTGATGTGTATCAGGTCGGAAAGTCACACAGACAAGTTTTTCGTAAGTGTCGTGATCGAGAGTCAACGGTACCGGGTGAAGTGATACACATTGTGATACACAATGTGTGCGGACCAATGTCAGTTGAGTCTTCCGGTGGAGCACGATATACTATATAGTATGCTCATGTTCAAGGACGACGCAACGAATTTCCGTTTCATTTATTTCCTACGACACAAAAGTAATATATATGACAAATTCAAAGTGTTTGATAAATTAATTAAGAACAAATTCGGAAAGACGATGAAAATGCTACGATCAGACAACGGACTGGAGTTTTGCAACAAAAACATGGACTGATATCTCAAGGCTCGAGAAATACAGAGAGAGAACACCGCCCCGTACATTCCGGAGCAAAATAGCAGGGTTGAGCGCGATAATCGAACGATCATCGAATGCACAAGAACAATGATTTACGTCAAGGATCTTCCCTTAACTCTGTGAGCAGAGGCAGCAAATACTGCTGTATATCTGATGACTCGTTCGGGATCAGCAAATAACAGAGATAATATGACACCGTATGAGCTGTGGGTTGGCAAGAAGTCAAATCTACAGCACCTGAGAATATTTGGGAATATTGGGAAGCATATATGCACATACCAAAACAATTGTCGACGAAGTTAGACGTACAAGCAAGAAGGGTGCTGTTAGTTGGATACGAAGGTCAGTTATCGAACTATCAAGCTTATGATCCAGAGACAAGAAAGGTGATTCTGTATCACATGACGTTGTGTTTAACGAAAAAAATCGGAAAAATCAAAGTGTCAGTCAGTGAAGAGAATACTGGAATAATTCTGCCAAAGGACGAACAAGAAGTCTGTCTACTGGACAGCGAAAACGAGGAAGAGTACAAAGCTATTCTGCCAGCTATGGAGAACACAGAGGCAAAACAAGAAGAGCGTGAAATCAATCCAGTCGAGATCAAACTTGAGAAGTCGAGAGAGCTTGAAACATCCGGCGCATTATGAGTCGAACGTGGCTACACTCAGCACACCCTTAATGTTCAAAGAAGCCATGAAGAGCGAGGAAGCATCTCAGTGGATTGAGGTAATCAACAGTGAGTTAGAAGCGCATGAGAGAACGAGATCTGATTATAGTCGAAAGAAAGCCAGGTATGAAAATAATAGACTCGAAGTAGGTTTTCAAACTCATGAGGGACAACAACGGGAATGTATATAGATTCAAAGCACAACTGTGTGCTTGAAGATTTATGCAGCAGCAGGAAGTGGATTTTACGGAAATGTTTGTTCCAGTAAGGTACGAGTCACTTAGGATGTTATTTACAGTAATTGCAGCAAAGGATCTTGAGCTTACTCAGTTCGACATGCAAACGGCGTTCCTACATGGAGAGCTGGAGGAAGAAATCTATATGGCTGTTCCAAAGGGTCTAAAAGTCGAAAAGTTAAATGACAGGGTCGTGTGTCGATTACGAAAAGCACTGGGTTTGAACAAGCTCCTCATTATTGGAACAAAAAGTTTTGTGTTTTTCTAAAAGAGTTTAATTTCAAAGAAATAGAGGCAGACAAGTGCATTTTCATAGGAAATGTTAAGGGTGTACTTAGCATTCCTTAATTCTTATTTCCTTTTAATTGCCTTTTCTGATTTATTTACCAAAAATTGTTTTCTATCTTTACTTCTCGTTTCAACCCTTCTTTATATATATTTAACTCTTCGTTTTTATTTTTTCTTTACTCCCTTTTCTTTACTTCATTTTCTTTTAATTTCCAATCTTTGCATTATTATTATTTTTTTTTCTTGCTGTTTATATTATTTTCCTTTGTATTATCACTACTTTTGGGAGAAACCGTTGAAATAGATGAATAATTTTCGAACTTAAACTTGGCGAATCTCTTATCTTAATTTTATTATTAGTATTTTAATTTATACCTGTGTTTCAGCGAATTTAGAAAATTTTAATTCTAACTATAATACTATAATATAATATATGCGCAAACGACGAATTCTATACTTCCTTTAATGTGTAAATGTTATTCATATTTTTATTACACATTTACTTTTTATTTTGTTTTATTTCTATTATATTAATTATATGTATGTTGTATTAACTAGTCAGAATTTAATTCTTAACGTAAATTCTTCCCTGTATATTCTGACTGATAACCTCCGAACGATTGTAACACCCGCGAGAATATATACATACACATACAGATACCCACCCACTCACGCATAGCTACAACTGCTAAGATGTATTTTTCCTTCTTTATTTTTTTTATAATATATGTATTTTTAATTTAATGTATAATTTAATTATTTAACCCGTTCTCTTCCCTAAATTCTGAGATCGCACTAAGTCTCATCCCGCGTAACAAGAATTAAATTTCTTTACTGAAAAGGGACCACCGAATGAATGGGTTTAAAAACGGAACGTTAAAGAGACCTTCAGTCGCTGACCTGTGTCAGGCCCTTCTCATTCGTTCGACCCGATCCATACACATGCCCGAATAAAGTGTGTCACAGGGTAAGTAAGTTACGTTCTTCCATACGGTCCATCCATTCCAGGGTCTGAACGTAACATATGTTTAGATTAAAAAACCTTTTATTTGGTGATAAAGAAATTTCAAAATTTAAAAATGTTTATATAGTGGCGAGAAAGTTTGAAAAATTAAAAAAAATAAAAAATTTTTTTCATTGTTGTAAAATAGTTTTAAATACAATTTAACTTTTAATTTGAAACTGTAGGAGAGAAAATTTATTTCTCTCCTATGGTTTCAAAAATATTCGTTTCGAAAAGAAAAAAACCAATTTTTTTAAAAAGGTATTTTAAAAAGGTATTTTATCCTCTGCACGTGCATATGTGTACGCATAAAAAATACATAAATCCTATTTTTGTCTAGAAAATAACATATTAGAAGTTTATCAAAATAGGACGAAAACACTTCCATGCATCTTCTTGTAAGTTTTCATTATTTATTTTGTTCTAATCTTTCCCATTTTACTTATTATTTTGACTTTATTCCATGATTAATCTCGTTTTTTAATTCTGTGAACATTAAACATTTGTTGATTTTCTTTATAAACACATTGCATTGCATATTCATTAAAAAAATTAATGCTGGCATGCTTTTTTTCCTTTATTCCGCTTTTCATATTAGTGACCTATATTATTCTATTTATTATTTTAAATCAGCAATCTTCGAACCGAATACGAATCAAGCTAGATATGAATTTTATCATTATGTGCTTGGGCATGGATCTTAATTATATACATTCTCTTCTAAATGACAAAAAAATTATTAATATTAAAAAAATTATAAGAATGATCAGATTTTAAATATTAAAAAATAAAATAAAATTGATGTATCGATTTTTTTATTTCTTTTTTTTACACTAATCGATTATTTAGTATCGATATTTTCCGATTTTTATCAATTCTTTTCATATCAATTTTTGTTCAAAATCGTGCATTCTTATTGAATACTGTTAGAAATACATTTTTTCAAGATATGTACGAATATGTATCGTTTACCTCTAATAAAAATACATGATACGTAAATATTAAGTTGTTTTTGAATCAGTAAAACACTTTGGTGAAGTTAAAGCATACACGTATACACATATAATATGCATTCACGCATGTACACATGCGCATACATTCATACGAATCGAACACATAAATTGTTTATAATAATAATTAAATACGTACAACTAGAAGTTGCTATTGCTTCAGAAGCAACATCATCTGCTGGTGTCCAATGTGTTAAACGTTCTTTGCAGAGCTCAAATAATGGTTGTTTCTCAGGCAAAATTAATTCTTCTTGCATTGATTTACATAAAGATTTAAATTCTTTTTCTGTAGCACAGAAGAAGCACTGAAATATAAGATAAATTAATTATTAATGATAATATACATATAATGATGATATATGTATAATTTTCAAAATATCACGTAACGTAATGTGTATTTGTACTTAAAACGTAATAAAAATATAAATATCTAATAAATCCTCTTTCTCTTTCTAAATTTTCAACAAATTTTATTTATTAAACATAAGACCTGCGCGCGTGCTATTCATTTAAATTTTTGAAAAATTATAAAATTTAAAATATAAACAATCTAACTATAAAGTTTTTTGACTATAAAAAATTAATATATATAGGGTGTTCTATTTTAACTTTGCCATCAAAATATTATCTCGTAAAGTCTAAAATATGAAAAATCGTAAAGTATAAGATACGAAAAAAATATTTTACAGTTTATGTAAAATTAAAAAATGATTTCAAGCCTCATAACTCGGAAAGTATTTAATGAAAACTAACTTAATTATAGTGTTTTGGAAAGCTCTCGAGATAAGCTATAAGAAAATGTGAAAGTATACGAGGTGTGTTCAAAAAAAAGGTGACTTTTTATTTTTCTCGAAAAATATTTATTTATTCATCAATATCTATTTTGTCTCCTTCAAAGTAATCCCCCTCAGATATTATACACTTGTGCCAGCGCTTTTTCCAATCCTCGAAGCACTTTTGATATGCGCTTTTTGGTATGGTCTCGAGCTCTTCCAGCGATGCGGTCTTTATCTCCTGTATTAAATTTTGTGTGAAAAATAAAATTAAATGCTCTGACGTACTTGAAATGTTGACTGCGGTATTTGGCGAGTCTACTCTGAGCAAAAAAAATGTTTACAAGTGGTTAAAATGTGTACAAGCTCTTCACAGAAAGTCGAGAAGATGTTAATGACGATGCCCGCCCTGGACGCCCCAGCACGTCAACAACCGATGACAACGTCGAAGCAGTGAAGAAAATTGTTATGGAGAATCGTCGAATCACTATTAGAGAAGTTGCTGAGGATGTCGGCATATCGGTTAGCTCATGCCATGCAATTTTTTCGGTTTGGGCATGCAACGTGTGGCGGCGAAGTTTGTTCCGAAATTGCTGAATTTCGACCAAAAACACGTCGTTGCTTGTTTGTGATTTTTTGGCCAAAGTCAACACCGTAATCATGCCTCAGCCACCGTATTCACCGGACTTGGCCCCCTGCGACTTTTTCTTGTTCCCAAAACTGAAAAGATCCATGAAAGGACGGAGATTTGCCACGATTGAGGAGATAAAGACCGCATCGCTGGAAGAGCTCGAGATCAAAAAGCGCATATCAAAAGTGCTTCGAGGATTGGAAAAAGCGCTGGCACAAGTGTATAATATCTGAGGGGGATTACTTTGAAGGGAACAAAATAGATATTGATGAATAAATAAATATTTTTCGAGAAAAATAAAAAGTCACCTTGTTTTTGAACACATCTCGTATAGGATATCCCATTTAAAAAGTTGGAGATGACCTTCATGTAACCTTTAAGTGACTCTTCAAGGTCAAATATATGGCATCATCTTATGTCCCCCTTGAAACCATATAACTTTTGTCTGAAACATTTTTTTCGTATCTTTTAGACTTTACAAGATATTTCGATGGCAAAGTTAAAATGGAATACCCTGTATATATGAAATGCCCAAACAACGCCACCTATCTTTCGTCATTTAAAATCTGTTATATTATAATATTTAACTACGCCTTTATTAAATTTATCAGTATTGATTATTATTGTATTATATATCAGTATTGATTATTATGTATTATATATTATTTTATCAGTATTTATCAGTATTTTATCAGTATTCAGTGCAGTTTGTATTCGAATCTGTTTTGTGATATATTTGTTTCGTTATAGAAGCATTTATTGAGCAACAGTATGCGATCAAGTTTTGTGGAAAATTGAGTAAAATTATTATGGAAACATGCTTCCTGTAATGTGAAAAGCATAATTAACAAAGAATTTGTTCTATAAAGGATAACAATTAATTGAATTTTACATATAAGAAAGTTACTTGAAAAATTGGGCAATGTGTAACCTGAGATAAAAAGGAATAGTGATTGGTTTCTGCTCCATTATAACGCTCCGGCGCATACCCAGGGATAAATGTTGGTCGAATCTACATCAATTCGACATCGATTTGACAAACATTACTCACTGGGTAATGCTGCAATCATTTTTAGCATCTAAAATCGTGACTGTGCTTTCATTCCTTTTCCTATTTTTCCAATTTGGCCTCGACTGATTATTTTCTTTCCCCCAAACTTAAATTAAAGTTAAAAGGAAGCTGATTTGATGATGTGAAGTAGATTCAAAGCAATGTTACGAAACAATTAAACAGCGTCCAAATTTCGAATTTTCAAAACATCCAAAACATGCTAGAGGAACGCACCAAGTTCTGTGTGAAATTAAAAGGAATATACATTGAAAAATAAATGATAATATTGAAGGTATAACAATTTCTTTATTTTTGGTAGAGATAGTCTTAAAACTTTATAGCTAGATCGTGTATTCCATACTTACACAAGCATTTATTTTTTCTACATGCGTGCATGCGTTTATATAATAATAATAATAATAATAATAATAATAATATAATAATAAATATAATAAATTAAAATAATAAATAAATTTTGACATTAACTTATATTTCATGAGTCACTTTTCTCTTGATATTTTAGAGAATGAATTTCTAAATATACACGCTTTGAATTATTGTGGCATTCTCTTTCAATTCCTACCATTTTTAAAATATCACACTTTTCATACTTATTTATTTATTCGTTACATCCTATTTATGTATTTATATTTTCTTTGTTTACATTTGCTTATCGTTACTATTGCCAGTACACTTCAGAATTATTATTTAGTTTCATTAAGAATTACAAAATAAGTGTAACTTTAATTCCTGATTCCTAATGTCTTTGAAATAATAACCATAATTTTCCTATCATTTATTTTTGTTACATTCTATTTCTGTATTTATGTTTTTGTTTATAATTACTGATTCTAATTATTTTTGCGAACAAATATAAATTTGTGAAGAAAGATAAAGATTGATTAATTCCCGGTAAACAAAACGCCCGATATTTTCCAACAGATTGGCATCCGTTATATCTACAATAGACTCACAATTTGCAAGCAAAACCTGCTCACAAAATCTGACAGCAGAATGTCAGCAAAAACCGAGCAGATCTGTTAACATGATTTGACGTCAAATTGTAGAAACTAAACAGATTCTGCACGCGTGTAATCTGATTGGTAACAAATCCGGAGAAGAATCTGCAGCTTCTGATCACTCATATAAATATGTAATATAAATGCAATAAAACTGATTATTACAGATGCTAAATAATAGTATTATCAGCGAGTTATCGGTTAATTACAAATTTCTTCTAATATAACTTATAATATATAATATATATTATATTATAGTTATATTTCATATATTATATTATAGTTATATTTCATAGTGTGAAAAACTCAATTTAATTAAAACTTCAATTTTATTAAATTAATAATAAAATAAATGGTGAAAGTAATTAAATTTAACTTATAAAACTTGAGATATAATTTATTTAAAATTAAATTCTTCCTTTATGCTTCAAAGGCAGTAAATGAATAATTTTTCATTTATCTTATTGATTCCAATCAGTTTAATATTCTAAATCTCATCTGCCTATATCAGATATCAGAAAGTGATAAAAATAGTTACTATATTTTTGATCTTTTATTAATAATCGCGAGTTTATATACACTCACCCGCAAAGAAAACGGGCCACTAAATTTTAACATAATTTTTTCACATTTTCAAATAGCGATAAATCAGCAAAAAATGATCATATCGAGATGAAACGAAGCTTAAATCTCGAACATTTCTCTTAAAAACCAAGGAAAACAAATTTGAATTACAAAAAAATGTTTTATAAAATGGCGGACGTTGAAAATAGCCTTCGAAAAATGGGAAACAAAATTTTTTTTTAAACTGTTGCGTTGCTCAGGAGAATCTACACATTAATACACAAATGTATGAGTTTTGAAGCTCATTTATTTCCTAATAAATCCATATTTTAAACAATTTTCTACGACCTTTTTTAATAAAGTTATATCGTTTTAAAGAAAATATTGCAAAATGGACAAAGGAACAGTCATTCTGAATTGTGAGACAGAAGAGGAGATGGAAAAATTAAAGACTACCATACAAGCCAAGTTGAGTGAGAATTTCAAGGACGGAGTCTTCGCAAATAAAACCAAAGATAAAAATTGTCAATATTAGTGAAGAGGAAATAAAATTGAATGATGATAATTTAATAGATACAATTAAAAAGTAAAATAAAATGACGATAAATGAAGGATTTCAAATAAGAATTGTGAAGAGAATAATTAAAGAGAAGAAAAATGGGAAACAAAATTTTTTTTGATAGTAAATATGATAGTAAATCCCAAAAAAGAAGAAAGGAAGAAAGTTCTATAATAATTGAAACAGATAAAAAAACACATGAATTAATATTAAGTAAAAAAAAACTAAGTGTAAGATGAAATAAGTGCCCCGTGTTTAATCATATTAGTGTTAAAAGATGTTTTAAATGCTGGAGTTATTTTTATATTGCGAAAAATTGTACTCGAAATGAAACATGCCACAAATGTGTCGGGAAACATAAAGCATTTGAATGCAGGGAAACCAAGAAGAGATGCGTAAACTGTATGTTTAAAATTCAAGCATACAACTTGGAGATAAATGATAAGCACGAGGCTTGATTCGGAATGTCCAACATTCAGGAAGACAATACAGGAAGAGAAGAGGAGAGCCGGTTGAGAAGATACGAAATAGCAATCACAGAAGAAAGAAGAATTAATATTATATACAAATGCGCAAAGTCTGTTAGCGCATAAAGATGAGATATAGCATCAGATTATGAAGAAATTGATTCTGCAATTGTAGCATTATCTGAAACAAGATTGACTGCTGAAATTGAAGTGAGGTGAAGAATGTTCCAGGTTATAGTAT